GTTGCTTGATTAAAATAGTTTTTTTCTCAAATGGAAAACCGGTTACCACGTTCATGTAAGCGCTTTTAGAAATACTCCATTCGATTATGTGCAAAAAAAAAAGAACGTCATTGGATTTGCACGTAAGTTGTAAAAAAAGAAAAAAAAAAAAAAAAAAAAAAAAAAAACAAGTTGGATGCAATACTCCCTAGCTTTTCTTTGAAGCAAAAAATGTTATCTCATCGAACGGTCCATTAAATAGTTTATTCTCTTAAGCGGCATTACCGAAATTCACTGCAAATTACTCTTGTCGAATTTCACGAAAAATTCACTCTCCCAAGCACGAAAAATCTCTATAAAAAGCAACTACATTTCCACTCCATGGCATAACAAACTTTGCATAACAAGCGTGCCATTAGCCTAATTTTTATCGACTTGTACGTTTGCCTCGTGCATCGTAGCCCATTGGCAAAACAATCACGCGCGACATTGTGTAAGTTGTCCATTTGGCTGTACCTTTTTTTTCGTATTTAAATTTGGAATTTTATTGAGAAAAATAGTTGTATGCATCGCACGAGTTTGCTTGCAGTCTTACAGCAATTTAACAGCGATACGGGCATGTTATGAAATTCGATGACTGCAACTATATTTATATAGTTGCTTCTTATAATATAATTCCTTCGAGAATGGCAAAGAAATTTCCGATGTAAAAGTATTATAAATAGCGAAATCAGTGAAAGCTGCCATAATTGACTTGAATAAGATTAAAAAGAAAGTGCAGTGTTGTAGGAAAGCAATAGTTTTACTGAGGAAAGCATTACTGCTAATGACATGTCATCCGATCAATTACGAATTATTTATCTCTACCGAGCGTGTAATGATCTAATTGCCGCGTGAGAGGAGGCCTTGATCCATTGACTTTAGATGTTTGCAAAGAAATATTTTTATCATCAAATGACTGACGGATTATTTTGATATTGCAACAGAAATCGCCAACACTTTTGCTTCTTTGACTGTAATGATAAAAAAAAAAAAAAGTTTTTCTTATGCAAGAGCAGTGCCGTCATGTTAATTGGATCGATTGTTTTGATGGATAAACGAAATGATACCACGTTACAGCTTCATTATATATTTGTGACTGTGATTTTACAATCATTGCCATTAATATTTGTATAATGTCGAGTACGCAACGTGTGATGGTACGTTGATGAATTTGAAAAAAAGCTTGTTATTTCTGAGGCATAAGTTATACCGGCTTGTGAGGTACCATTTCTTATTACCAAAATTGAGAAATTGACTGCACCCTGATGGGGGGTACAATATCATCTTTTATAATAGAACAAGTTTCACGGAAACATTTAAATGACACTCTAAAAAGCTATTCGTGTTAAAATCTGGGTATATACTCATTTTCTAGAGAACCTATATACTGATTCAACAGAAAGATACGTTACTGTCGATAATGAGGATTTTTATTCAACAAGTAGGTAGATTTTTCAACATTTAAAAAAAAAAGAATCGGATTAACTATCGGTAAAAAATCAATAATTTCATTTTTTTTGGGTCACACGACAGGCACAACAATGTGTGTACAGGTACCAATCCCTGAAAAAACGATGCTGCACTTGCGTTATACAAAAATGCGTCGTCTTCGATACATACAAAGGTATAAAATATATGAAGGGTACCTACTCTCTGCAGCAGAGTGACCGGAATAACGAATTTCCAGCGCTCGAGTGAGTCATGCCATCGGTGGGAGGGATTCTAAAATATATGTTACGCGTACTTGGCATCGGCGATGGTGCTAGGCGTTGTTTGCAAGTACACGTAAATAAAAAAGATAAATAAAAAATCACTGCTTTGACGAATGCATTTTTTTTTTTTTCTACTAAAGATTAACGACTTTTCCCCAAGGCTAATGGATGAATTAAAATTGTAGATTAGGCAAGATGTAAAACGAAGAGCAGAGATAATTTTTTATTCTCTGATCGACGATGTTTCGAGGATTAAAATGCGCATGAATTGTTTTCTTTCTTTTTTTTTTTTTTTGTAAATCACAGTTTGACACTGTACACGTATCATTCGGAAAAACCTTTATTAAAACTCGAGTCTACACGAATCAAGTGCCATCCAGTGGGATGTGCCTCAAGTAAGGTATTTGCTTGGAAATCCTTTTTTCCCTTGCAAATGCAAGAATACGATAAACAGGGAGGAGAAACACACAATCCCAAGATCCTCAATAATCTCGTCAGCGATCAGCCTTGCAGGATTCCCCCTTTCCTCTCCCCTTGATCGTTGTTGGTAATGTTCACAGATATACCTGATGAATTGAAAATCTCGTACTCACTTGGCGTACGCCTGCACTTCTTGCACAATACCGTAGCCGTGTGTGTATCTACAGTACGAATCCTAATATTTTCGTAAACATTTGTACAGGTATTTTAGTTCCGTCACTTTGATGGTCTTAAATACTTTCATGCGTGTAATTTTCAAACGTTGTTTTTTACATGGTTTACAAATAATCACATGAATGTGTTTAAAGTAAGTGACAAAAATTTAAGTATTTTATTTTAAGATATTTGGATTTTTTGTACTGTTGTCATTAAAATCTTAATTAAACATGTAGCACTTAATGCAATTTTAAGTATATGGATAAACATATTTTGATTAGTTATATTCCAAATAATTTTTAATTTATGATGAGATTTATTTTGAATAATTCGTGGTGTCAATAACGACGAATAAATTATTAGAGACATTATTTCAGAGATCTGCGATTACTGGATCCCTCGGCAACAATAGGTCTCTTTACGACTCCGTTCGAGTTGGCTCTCATTTTTATCAAATGAATGAGTACACATGTAAAAGTCTCATACATTGTCGTATCATAAAAAAAAAAAAAAAAAAAAACCCCTAAGTGGGGGAGAAGGGCGATCGGACGTGAGCTGAGCGCACGGGCCCCCGCGATAAAAGCATCCTGCGTTCGCTTTGATTCGGCTAGTGCATCGCCGCCGTCCGCACTTGCTACTTCGCGCCACCTGTACTTGTGATTGTACCGTCCACGAGTGATTTTCCTTTGTAATTGTCAGTTTTCGTTGTTGTTGATTTTTCCTCAGCTGCGCGGCCAAGGGGGAAAAACATGATGCTCCAAAGGATTACGTATCCGGAAGGTAAATCCGCGACTCACGATCGCCAATGTGTGCATGTGCGAGTGTACGTTTTCATCGGAGGCTTAATTGTCGGGAGACGATCGGTAGTTGCGTGCAAAACCGTGGTTCTGCGGTTTCTTCTCTGATGTAAGTTTTGGGTGACGTGCCATTGTTGTATCTCTTGTCAGCCACGGAGTTTTGCGGATTCAGGAGTTAGGAATAATGGTTCATTGAAAAAAAAAAATTTGGATAAAAAATTATCTCTTTGTATTATTTGCGCGTGGAGTTCTGCAACTACAATTTTTTAAACACATCCTTTAATGTGAATGTAAAGTTGTGCTGAGTTTGTAAGATATCCGAGACGAGCTATTGGATGCAGAACGTTGCTGTCTCGTGCACGGCCTGATGCTCGCACTCAACATATCGTTGACGTTCAATGTTTTGATAAACACGAAATACTCGCGTGATTCCGTGTGTATTTATCAATGTAGAACTTGCTCGTTATCTATACCCGGTTGTTTGTGTAGGGCATAGAAAAAACTTGAGTGGAATTTTAATTATCTCGTAGCAGAGTTCTCAATAATTTACCAAAATTCACTTTGAATTGAAAGGTATGAATAAAAATTAAATTTTTTCTTTAATTTGTTTGTATTTTAATTGAAAATTGTATTAAAATGTTGA